AAAGAAATAATAAAAAGCATGAACTACCTTGCTTTGGTTGAGACATCTGAAATGCTCTATAGCAACTTTATTGTTTTCACTTATCACTTATTTTATTTTATTTTCTCAGTCAGTTATATCTGTCCATTGAAATTCTCTTCTGCATCTGCTTTACCAGGTCTTAGTGACGGGTTCGTTGCATCTAGTCGGTGATGTATTGAGACTAATCAAGAAGTAACACAGTAGGGTTGCACTCAATATTTTCTGTTTTTGGTTTTTCGTTAGTGTTCGTGATGATGAAAGCTAAGAACTCTGATCACCTGAGCCACAGTCAAGGGTCCACATAATGAACATTTTGAGGTTGCAGTTGTGCTTCTGTAACTGTATCAAAAATGTACTCTTTGTCGTAGATGATATTGTGATAAGTTCTTATTTATTATTTTGGTTATGTTTCTTTTACTAGTATCACAGCATCATGGTAAAAGTATGATTATTTGCAAAAAGAATTAGGAGTCTCGAGTGACACAATATTACAATAGATTTTTTGCTATAATAAACATTTTTTTTTTTTGTGCAATAGTTGATAGTTGTTTATAATTTAGTGCTTTATAAAAAGTTGGTGATTATAATAGCACGAGCGAATGTTGACTAGTAGCAAAGAAAAAAAAAAAATCTCAAGTTTCTCTCGTCGCCCTTTCCTCTCATCTCTCCTCAGTAGGGCGCGGCGAGTGCACAGTGGTGGCTCTCCTGAGCCTCGCAGCCTGTTTCCGAGAGTAGTGCCGCACGTGGGAGGGGGAGCTTTTTCACCTGGGAGACGGTCGTGCCTGCTTTTCGGCTTCCGCATCCGGTGTCGGGAGTGAGTTGCGGGTGGATGGTCCTCTTCCGGTATCTCCATTTCGGTGGCCCTCTGGCGCTCTCTTGGAAGGGGTTGCGACCCCAATTTTCGATTTAGGGTTTAGGGTGGAGAAAGGGATCCGGTCAATTTGTTTTCTTCTCGGCTTGTTTAAGTGGTCGCCGCCGATTGCAGGGTTGATGTCGTGATTTGGAGGTGTGGTTGTTGGTGATTGTTGGGCTGTTCGAGACTCGGGGTAGTCGGCAATTGCAGGTTTGGGGCTGAGCGTAGGAGGTGGGGTTATCGGCGATTGTTGGGTCGGGGATGTGTTTTGGAGGCGCGATTGTCGGCGATTGACGAGCTGAGTTGCTTTGCTTATGTTTCGGAGTCGTCGGCAATCGTCGGGCTAATTTTGACTGATTGGCTGGGTGCAATTTTCTCCTAGTGGCAGTGGGGTTGTTCGCCTGGACGAGGGTTGGGCCAACCCGTGGGTCTTCGATTCAGTTAGGCGTTCTCTTGCAGTTTCTGGGTTGGGATCTTGGGCTGCGACTCTGCCATTGTTGTGCTCGGTGTGGCTCTCCGCTGTGGAAGGACTCTCGTTGTTGTTTTGTTTTGTCTAGTTTCGTTTTGTTTAGTGTGTGTTTGTTATGTTTCGTGTGTGTTATGTTTAGTGTATGTTTTGTGTGTTTGACCTCTGTGCGCCCGAGTATCACGTTGTGCGTGTGAGTGTCACCTTGTTACCCTGTTGGGGTCCGACACTCGAGTATCACACTGTTGGGGTCTTGTAGTTATTTTAGTTGTTGTGTTGTTGGTTAGTTTAGTAGAGTGTGTGTTTTTTCTTCTAGCGTTGTTAGTCGGGATTTTAGGCGGTCTTCTGACCCGTCCTCCCACTTTTTTCAGCTGTTGGCTGCTGTGTATTCGCACATTTATACTTTTTGATTTATAATATTTCTATCTTTTCGGGAAAAAAAAAATGTTGACTAGTAGCTGATAATGTGTACATAAAGTATTATATATTATATATGTATATAATATTAAAATTATGCAATGAATAAAAGAAATTCTACGGCATCCACATGATCACATCATCCATCGGTGCCCAACATGGATACACATACATCAATTCCCTTCCACTGGATCATTATCCAATCCACAACCTACTCTACTATATTATCTCTACTAAACAAAAGGAAATATTAGTAAAGCAAGACATTAAGAAGTTGATATCATTACAGTGAATTGAGCTAAACACAGAGTTCTCTCTTAAGGCCATTAAGGTGGACAGCAATGTCACCTGACAGCACACTTCACTCCAACCAATCTGCAAGATCTTCTGCATTGCCCAACTCACTGCCCATAGCTCAGCATCAAGGTTTTTGCCTTCATGCTTTCTTATGCTTTTCCACTCCTTGATATCAGCATTCTCCTCCCAGGCCAAACATCCCATCTCCAGATTGCCAGATTGTGACAAAGAGGCACTGACAGCAAAGCACTGCCCTACCTTCAAGGAGATTGTCTCCTTAATCACTTCTCTGGTCTCATCTTTTCTCTGTTTTTCCACAGTTTGCTTGTCCAGATTTTCCTTGTACTCCATCCATTCTGATTTTGCTTCCTCCACAATGAATCTCTCACATCTCCATTCATTTTTAAATCTAAAATTGAACAAGCAAAGGAGTCTGCTGCATGAAGGACATGATAAGTCTCAGTGTGTACATGCTATGGTGGTTATGGAAAACTAGTTTTTAGAAACCTTTATAACTGAAACCTTTATCATAATCACTAAAGCTAATAAATCTTGTTCCAATTGCTGATCTGAAAGGATCTCACTTTTTCTCAACCATTCTTTAATAAAGCAAAGTTTCATCTGATCCAACAACCCCACAACTTGTTGCAACGTCACATTCTTTTCACATAACTTAAAGCTTTTAGAACATTTGAGTTAGCCTGAAAATTGCAAACAAACAAATCAATTTGGCTCTTGAAGAATCAAGAAAAGAATATAGAAAAAACAAATATATTATATATATAACATGTTGGAACTTGGTATGACGGAAAAAATAAATGCGCTTACTAGAAAGATCTATAATATCACATCTCTCCACCGACCCGATTTCGACCAAAATTAGAGCTAATAACCGACCGATTTTTACTTTCCTTAACCGATTCCAGTTGCAGATACCAAATATTCTCCTCTCTATAGATATCTCCCCCATAATTTCGCATAAATAAAAATCAAAACTCCAACAATAATCATAAAAAAAAAGTAGCGAAAAGAATGAATTCTACTTCCATAAATCACGCTGGCGGGACCTTAGGCGGCGGGCGGCGGCCACAGCCTGAAGCCCCCCGTCCATGCTCCGGCGGCTGCGGATTCTACGGCACGGCGGAGAACAAGGGCCTGTGTTCCAAGTGCTACACGGCCCACCTCAAAGACTTGAAGGCCAAAACAGAGACGGCAGTTATTGACAAGCGAGAACCGGATGATGTTACGAAAACCGAAATCTTGAATAAACCGTCGTCGCCGGTTCATGTGGAGAGAGAGATGTGGAGTCTGTAACAAAAGGGTTTGTTACAGGGGTAACATTGAGACCCGGAACTTGGCATGATCCCTTAGCATGTCAAGGTCCAAGTGACTCGAGCACAAAGGTGCGAGGCGTCGACTAAGGGAAGGACGCGAGCTGGGTGCGTTCTTATGGCTGGATTGTTGGTTCAGTCGGGTCTTCGTGGGGCGACGAAGACAAATGTGCGATACTTAGCCATATTTGTCCAAGTATTGGTCGGATCATGTTGGTTGATTAAGTCGAGGGCTCAGTCGGACGAGGATTACCGCGGGTTGTGCATGGCCTTGCGGGTATGCGGGATAACTCGGGACGGTAGGGTGCGGAGCAGCACGGTGCTTCGCATATTTGTCGGGTAAGGCGCGGACAAGGGCGACTTCCAAGTGCACCGATAAACTCGGACGAGGGTGTTGGCTAATTAACCAAGACATGGTCAGACTTAGGCGAGTTCGGGCACGAGAGTGCTTCGGATGATGCAGCTCGATAGGGCGCGCGCGAGTGTTGGCGCCGCGTCTAAAGCCGTTGGCGGGAACGGTTGAAATTTGAAATGGGCAGTTGGGCTGCACGTGTACTAGTCGGTTATTGCTAGTATCACGTGGCCTATGCGGGATTCCTTTGAGTGCATGGCCAACTGAGTGCAGCGGGATGACACGTGTCTTGGCGGTTCCAAGGGACACGTGGCACGACGGTTATTGACCCGCACGTTGGACATATGTGCATGACGGTTGCCGACCGTTGTTGCATGGGCTAGGTTGGCATCAGGTTGATGCGGGCACGTGGCAAGGAGCAGTTGTGCATAACTGCTTGTCGGTTACCAAGCGGTTACCAAGCGGTTGGGGGACTGCTGTACCCGAGGTCTATAAGTAGACCGCTGAGGGCATATGCGCGGGACACAACAACACGAGAGAGAGCGAGATAGCGAACTCGAGAGCGTGATCAAGCGAGTGACCACGATACACTCTGTAAGAACTCGGAAAGAGCATTGAGTGCTAAACACGAGGGTGCAAGGCAAGGCAAACAGACGAGTGAACTAGGGTGTGAGCAAGTCTGTGTATTGTGTACTAGTAGGTGCGAGAGTTGGCATACGCCAAGTGATATAGCGTGCGTGTGTAAGGCCAATCTCTGTAAGGCCGGTATTAGTATGCATGTATATGTGCCTGCGTGCACAAGAGTGTATGTGTTGAACCGTGTATGCAAGCTGTAGGGTCTCCATTGTACTTAGTGTTATAAAAGTGCATTGGTTGGGCGTGAGCCCGTAGTATTGTGTGTCGCTGTTTTATTTTATTGCTTCCGCATGTGTGTGAGCGACTTGTTTGCATAACCTTGATTTATACTTGTATGGGCGAGCGAAGGATCAAGTTACAGTGAAGGCTGACTGGTTTTGTGGGAAATCAGGCCGCATAGGGTGCTAAGGGCGCGAAAAATTTAGCCTCTATCTAGACCCTGTGACAGTAGGGCTATTGGGGAGTGCAGGTGTGGGGCCACTTACTGTAGGTTGCATAGGTACCCTGAGGCTCACCCGTGTGGGTTCGATTTCAAGAAAGCCGCCAAGGACGCGATTCGGAAGGAAAACCCGGTTTGCCTGTCGGACAAGATTATAGATAGGGTTTGAATTTGATACTTTGATTATTAGTTCTTTTTATTTTGAACTTTTTACATGGTCATCCTCTGTAGGAGTAGAAGAAAGAGATGAATGGTAGTTTTTTTTTTTCAGTGGGGATGAATGGAAGTTCGTGTCTTATACAATTTATTTAGTGAGATTAATGAACGTTCGTTTCTTAGAGCATCTTCAATGGAAAATTGTGCATTTTGTGTTGTATGGCATGGAGAATGAAAACTAAAAAATTATGTCTCCAATGGTTAATGTTAATTGTGGTATCATTTGTGATGTGTAAAATTTTTATTGGTTGAAGAAGATAAATAAATTAAATAAATATTATAATATCTAATGGAAGTTGTCTAGAAAGGCTTCTACATCTAGAAAGCCTTCTAGAATTTTTTCAAGCCACATAAGATTATTTGTGCCATGTAACAAAAAAGAAAAATAAAATCCCCAGTGGAGATGCTCTTATATTTACTTGTCAAGCATTGTACAATATTTATTTTTCATTGATGAACAAGATAGACTGCTAGACTAACTAGTCAAAAAACCTCATACACAAGAGGGATTACAATACTATACTTTTAACACTTATAATTACATTTTATATCTTAAAAATAACAAATGATAATAAGGAGGGAGAAATATTTTCTTTCTTACAAACAAAAATAAACTTAAAATTCTAAACTTTCTTTTACTTAAATATATATCTTATATTAATTAGAGTGTATAGTATTTAATTAAAATTTAATATTCTTTTTATCGAAAAAGTAAAAATTAATATATTAATTCTGATATCTAAGAAAATTAAATAACGATAACTTAAAACTCGTTTTAAAATGAGTTGATTACAATTGACTCTTCTAATGACTATTAGTAATATTATTTAACTGTGTCTCACGATATACTATTTTGTATATCTATACTAATATAAAAAAGGTTGTTGGTAAAATTATTTTCAGTAACTTTGAATAAAAAACAAATAATTTGACTTACTATTAATGAAAATGTTTTGACTTACTATTAATGGAAATTTAAAAAAATAACGCATGTGAATTTTTAGAAATCAAATTTAATCATATTTTATATAATTTGGCTGGATTTTCGTTTCCAATTATCGAGGAACCAAAACTAATTTCAATTCATTTCTTAAATATGAATCCCATAGAAATCCAATTTTTTATAAAAAATTTGGAGATTCTTATGCCAAAAATGTGTCAATTATTCTTTAAAACAAATTCAAATATATATTAATTTAAAAACCGTTCGTATCATTTTTATTTTTTTTATCAAAATCCGTGTCCCATATTTTTTGGTAACAAATTTAGAGATTCTTATGCAAAAAATATGAGATATTGACTTTCAAATAATTGAGATTGAATTGAAATATCCCAACAATAACGGATTTTCAGATTTTTTCTCATTTAAGTTAATGTTGTAAATCAAACAAAAATTTGTTCCGAGAATATTGGATTCTATACCAAATATAGATAAACTCCAATCCTCCATGAATTATTTATATTTATGAATTTTGTGTGTAAATATATTGATTTGCTTTTCATACATAACAATAAATTACATTATTTCCTCACATAACCCCTAACTTATTTTTTATTTTTTTGGTGTTTTATATTCTTTAATTAAAATAATATATGACTTATTTGATTGAAACAACTTATTTTTCGGCATATCATCACAGAAAATAAAAAATCTATTAATTTACCGAAAATCACGACCTAAATCCATATCTATCAACATAAAAAGGTGAAACATTAGCTGAAATAGTATGTAAAATTTCACGTAATTTTTTTTTTTTACTAATAATGGATTTTTTTCTTTTTGAAATTTTTGTAAACTCCGGCCAAAAGCACAATTTGATTTTGAAAAAAAAAAATAGATTTTAAAATTCGACCAAATCTCTATCTATTGATGATTTTTTTGTCTATATTTATCTAACTACAAAATATTTTTAAAGTTTGAAAAAATATCCCATATTATGTTGCTTAAGGGTATTTTTCTGTTACTAATACACAACAGAAACAAACATAAATTAGAGATTCAGAAACGGAAATTATTGTTGCTTAAGGGTTTTTTTCTGTTACTACTATACAACAGAAACAAATAAATTCCGTTTCATAATTGGTTAGTGAAAACAGGGTAGCTAATGCTTGGTAACAGAAAACAGTTTGTTACTGTTTGCAACGATTTTGTTGCAACAAACGAAATCGTTTCTAATAGTAGAGTAGTAGCAACCAAATCTGCAACTGTTATATTTGTTTCTCATATTTACCGCCAGCAACGGAATCAGAAATGGAAATATTCGTTACTAATTTATTTCATTAGCTACAATTTTTGTAATGGATCGTTTTGTTCCTAATGTGTATATATTAGCAACCATATCATTAACAAAAAAATTCGTTGCTCATATTATAAATTATATATCAAAATTATAATTAAATATTATTTTTTGATTATTTTTATTATCATTCAATGAATTTACGTTTTAATGGTTTCAAATTTGAATACATTATATTTTACATATAAAACAATTTACAAAATAAGAGAAGAATAACATAATAACTTAAGATGAAGAACACAATAGCAAAACATATAATGTTATTCATTATTAAACATAATTTACATATCAACGTTCCATCACATAAAAAACAACAAACAAACATTTCTATCACATACAAAACAACCAAACATCAGACGTGTATCCTTTTTTCTCGAACAACGTTGGAAGCAATATTTTTAACATTTGACTATCCACACGCATCAGCGAACAAGATTTTTCATATTATTGGGCATCGAAGATGAATCCATATCTATCTAACTACAAAATCTTTCTGAGTTTTGGAAAGAATTCCATATTATGAGGATTCTTTCTATTATTTGGTGTACAGAAAAATGAAAAACGCCAGTTCGGTTTTTGATTATTTATGAACTCATTTTCGGACTCTCTAGAGTACTCCATTTTGGTTTAGCTTAAACCGAATTAATCAACGAATGAACAACACTTTATATAATTGGTTGTATAGTTTTTGGGCAATTGTTGCAGTCAGACTTTCATGGTTATTTTCTTATCATAGAGACTACTTATCATAGAATGTGATTGTTAAAATATAGGATATCAAAAAAATATTTATTTCAAATTAATAACTCAATCAAACGTTAAATATAAATTATATGATTGCTTAGTATGAAAACTCTCTTATTATGTTCAATTTATTCATCGTCAAACCAAATATTGAGTATGTATTCCAAGAATTGAAAAGATTATTGTTGATATCAAAAATTGTATCAACATATTTTTATATGAAAAAATGGAGAAGAAGAAGATAGATGATGAAGTTCTTTTTTCTTTGCTCTTTTGAGAGGATTTTTTCTTCTCTTATGTAATGGAGAGTCCTTTCAATAATGAAGACTCCCTCCCTTGTATATGCCTTAAAAGTGGCAATAAAAAATAGAAAAATAATACAATTAGTGGGCAATAAAATAATAGAAAGGTAGTACAATAACATTTAATCAATTATGACGTTTGAACGGCTTCCTTATGGTATCCGATTGATCGATAAATTTAACTTCTACCTGGCTCAGATGTGGACGATCTTAACGTCTGAGGGCTCGGTCGATATCAAATGATCAGCTTGGAGAACTGGCTTTACGTATATTTATTTGTTATATATTTTAGCCCATATTTATTTTTCCACGTGCCACTCTTTTATTAATCGTGACCAAATTGAGTATCAACATTTATAATTTAAAATATATTGTAATATTTATCTTGACCAAAATATTTCTTGACCAAAATATTATGAACAGGAATCACGAAAAATCAATCTTGTAATTTATTATAATGAATATCAATGAAATTATTGCAAATATTAAAAAAATTATTTAAGAAAACAATGTTTTTGATTATATTTTTCTAACTATCTATTCACAATTATTATTTTATATAACAATATTTTTCTTAATTAAAATAAAAAAATATCAATAATATAAGAAAATAAATGTAAAATAAAAGGAATAAAAGAGAGAATATTTGAAGTAGAGTAAGATAAAGAGCAAAGAATAGTAACGACGAAGCATGAATTTGGGTTTAACACAACGATCCCACGATATATTACCTAGTCGAACCCTTGGATGTCTGAGATAGGGGGAGAAAAAATAATAATAATAATAATAATATTACCTAGTCGAACTTGTACGCTTCTTCCCTATTCCTAACTTGAGTAACTTCTGTAAAATTACCCATATAAAAGTAAAACCTAAAAACCTCATTCACTACTCATTATTTTCTGCCGATCCAAATTTTGCAGAGATAAATTACTCGATCGTAATTAGAAACTTTTAGAGAAGATGAAGATTTTCGTGAAGACTCTAAAGGGTATTACCTTCGACGTCGAAGTAAAACCCGAGGATACGGTTAGTTTTCTCTTCTCTTTTTTCTTTCCTTTTTTGGTTAATTATTATTATTATTTTTTTTTTTTTTAACTTTAGTTTGAATTATGCATCGTTCTTATCGATTTGTGTAAATTTTGTTGTTTTTGGGGCGAGGGGGTGGCCGATGAAGGCTGGAGCTTATGTTTGAGCGATAATTGATGATGATTGATGCCTGCAACTTTTGTTTTTAATTTGTTAATTTTTTTTTTATTGGTCGGCATTAGTTTGTGCAATTGTANAATCATTAATTTATGGGCTTTGTGGGTTGTTTGAGTGAAACTCAATGTGGCTGTTGAAAATTAGTCTAGATGAAAGAGAATTTTCCAAGGTTATGCTTTTGGAAAAGATAGTTTTTATAATTTTTATGAATAATGAGTAGCAAGGCTCGAACTAGAGTGTATTCCCTATGAAATTGAGTAGGACTTAGTGAAATATGTCCCTCGATTGATATGGCTTTTTAGTTCCAATCATTGTTTTGTTTGGCAGGTTGCAGATGTGAAGAAAACCATAGAGGGAACCATAGAGAGTAAAGAGGAGCATATAAATATCCGGCCGCGCAGCAAATGCTTATCTACCAAGGGAAAGTTCTGAAAGATGACAGTACACTGGAAGAAAATAAAGTTGCTGAAGGCAGTTTTGTTGTTGTTATGCTGAGCAAGGTAAAAAGTCTATCTATTGGAAGTTTCTGGAACAATTTTGCTGAAATAAATTACAAAGGTCGTCTAGCCTATGCCCTTTACAACTACATCTAGTTTTCCATGATTTTATTCTCCGATTTTTTTTTATTTTTTTTTTTTTTTTTTTTTTTTTTTTTTTTTTTTTATGTCCATTTATCTTGAGTGTTCAAGCAATTATTCGTTAATAATTGATCTATAATATTTTCTAAAGCGGTTAGACCCTTAAGAAGGCATGCCTGATAATTGATTATTCAGTTTACTCTAGTTATAAGTATCCAAGTTTGCAGCTGGGGATCACTTTTTAATTTATTCTATTTTCTAAGCTATTGACAACATGCATTCCATAGGGATGATTTGAAGGAAAAATGAATTTTCAACTTACAATGGAAGTCACAACAAATCCTAATGTAAAGAAACTTCATTCGCAATGAGCCTATTGAGTTTTGCAAATCTTGCTCCATTGCAATGAAAATTGCTACTAACTCAACACCTTATACGCCTTCTGATCCTATCCGGTATCATATTCATTATGTTCTTTCTCAAATGTTGTAGAACAAGGGACCTACAGGGAAGGCTCAACAACGCCAAACGCACCTAAGGTAAGTGTATTATAGATTCTGGCTTTATATTTCATTGTCTTGATGTTTTAATTCTCATTTAAAAATATATTTCAGTTGATTCTATTGGACACCATTCTTATTGTTTTCTTGTTGTAGCTGGATTGTTGGTCGGTTGGTGTTTTTATGTGTGTGTTAGGTTCAGATGCTATTAACTAATGTTATAATGTGTAGATATATGAGAAATTGGCTTACCTTGTTGAAGTTAAAAGTTCTTTTGATTTTTCCCTGAGATGGAAATACATTTCCTTTTTATGGAAACAGATATTTTCTGGCATGCATAGTAATGTGAACCATTGTATGCTTCAGACGTTTTGTTTCTTTGTTTTCTCATTGTGAAACTGAGAGTGAGATGGAAAATTTAAAACCTCTCCGTTACATTGCTGAGATGGAATATTAAAAGTTGAATTAAACTTTTAAGTTTTCTTATATACAAATATTTTTTCTACTAATGATCTATTTATTTTCTTATTCTTTTAATATTAATTTTATGTAATAATCTGATTTCTTTGCCCTACCTGAGGGGACGTCTTGGTTAGGGCTTGGACTTCAATTGTGCTATGTATGTACAACTAAGGGATTGCACAGTCAATTATATTTTTTAGTTTTGTCTATGTTCTATTGTTCTCTTTATTCTCATAGTTGGGGGAGAGTTTGGTGTTCGGTTGTGTTGCTTATTTGTGGATATGGAGTTAGTCATTCAATTAGACATTTTATTAATTTGGTCTTATATTAATATTTTCCAACTCCTATTTTTTATTTATGCTATTAATTTGATTTCTTGTATAACTCTCGTGCTCCCTATACAGTTCGTCCTATTTATTTTTTGCTCTGCTTTGGGGATATCTTGCTTTGTGCAATGAATTTAGTTGTGCTACCTTTTGGTGGCTAAGGGATTGGATATTCAATTATATTTTTAAGTTTTCTCATATACTAATATTTGCTTAACCACAACCTCTTTATTTTCTTTTTCTTGTAATATTGGTTTTTTGTCCTATCCTCTTGTGTTATCAATATAGCCCATCCGATTTCTTCGCCCTACCTTAGGGGACGTCTTTGTTGCGGCTTTGAGTTCAATTGTGCTATGTATTTGTAGCTAAGAGGTTGGATATTCGATTATAATTTTTGATTTGCAATCTTTGATGCGTCGGTACTACGGTACCATGAAACTCGTTTTGGGCCCTAGATTGGACGTGACTTGTGATTTGTAGATTTTAAAAATTTTCCAATAGATTATGTTGTTTTATTTTGGAGTTCTGGAACCTTAATCTTAAACTTTTTGTTTCATTCTCTTTTGCTCTTAGTATAATTTATTGATTTCCTTTGCTTTTGTCTTTGAATTTGATTGTGCTACCTATAATTCTTTTTTCCGGGGGTGGGAGAGATGTTGGTGTTCGAGTATATATATATATAATATGTGTGTGTAGAAATATTTTTTTTGTTAATTACTCATTGTTTTATTTATGCTTCCTTTGATTTCTTTGTGAATGAAGTTGTGATACTTATTTGTGCCTAGACATTCAGTTAGATTATTTATTGATTTGGTCTATGTACTAATATTTTCGAGCTGAGATCCTGTTTTTTCTTTATACTTTTAATTTTGATCTCTTGTATTACTCTCATGCTACCAACACAACCAATTTCTTGCTCTGTCTTGGGATCTCTTGGTCTGGGCAATGAATTTGGTTGTACTTCTTATTTGTGGCTAGGCTAACGGGTTGGACATTGAATTAAACTTTTAAGTTTTCCTATATACAAATATTTTTTCTACTAATGATCTATTTATTTCCTTATTCTTTTAATATTAATTTTATGTAATATTTTCTTGTGCTACCAATACAACATATCTGATTTCTTTGCCCTTCACTAAGGGGACGTCTTGGTTGGGGCTTAGACTTCAATTGTGCTATGTATGTACGGCTAAGGGATTGGACTGTCAATTATAATTTTTAGTTTTGTCTATGTTCTAATACTCTCTTTAATTCTCTTAGTTGGGTGAGAGTTTGGTGTTCGGTTGTGTTGCTTATTTGTGGATATGGAGTTAGTCATTCAATTATAAATTTTATTAGTTTTTATCATGTATTAATATTTTCCAACTCCTATTTTTTATTTATGCTTTTAATTTGATTTCTTGTATAACTCTCGTGCTCCCTATACAGTTCGTCCTATTTATTACTTGCTCTCCTATTTATTTCTTGCTCTGCTTTGGGGATATCTTGGTTTGTGCAATGAATTTGGTTGTGCTACCTGTTGGTGGCTAAGGGATTGGATATTCGATTATATTTTAAAGTTTTCTCATATACTAATATTTTCTTAACCACAATCTCTTTATTTTCTTTTTCTTTTAATATTGATTTTTTGTCCTATCCTCTTGTGTTATCAATATAGCCCATCCGATTTCTTCGCCCTACCTTAGGGGACGTCTTTGTTGGGGCTTTGAATTCGATTGTGCTATGTATTTGTAGCTAAGAGGTTGGGTATTCGATTATAATTTTTGATTTGCCATCTTTGATGTGTCGGTACTATGGTAGCATGAAACTTGTTTTGGGCCCTAGATTGGACGTGTCCTGTGACTTGTAGATTCGATTGCGATAAGAGTTAAAAATTTTCCAATAAACTATATTGTTTTATTTTGGGGACCTGGAACCTTAAATCTTAAACTTTTTGTTTCATTCTCTTTTGCTCTTAGTATAATTTATTGATTTCCATTGCTTTTGTCTTTGAATTTTATTCTCCTACCTGTAATTCTTTTTTTTTTCGGGGGTGGGAGAGAGGTCGGTGTTCGAGTATATATATACGTGTGTAGAAATATTTCCTTGTTAATTACTCATTGTTTCCTTTATAACTTTGATCATTTTGTTCCCCTTTTTTATGCCATCAATATGCTTCACATCAATATGCTTCATTTGATTTCTTTGTGAATGAAGTTCTGATACTTATTCGTGCCTAGACATTCAGTTAGATTTTTTATTGGTTTGGTCTATGTACTAATATTTTCGAACGAGATCCTGTGTTTTCTTTATACTTCTATTTTTGATCTCTTGTATTACTCTCATGCTACCAACACAACCAATTTCTTGCTCTGTCTTTGGGATCTGTCTGGGCAATGAATTTGGTTGTACATCTTATTTGTGGCTAAGCTAACGGGTTGAACATTGAATTAAACTTCTAAGTTTTCTTATGTACAAATATTTTTTCTACTAATGATCTATTTATTTCCTTTCTTTTAATATTAATTTTATGTAATATTCTCTTGTGCTACGAATACAACATATCTGATTTCTTTGCCCTACCTAAGGGGACGTCTTGGTTGGGGCTTAGACTTCAATTGTGCTATGTATGTACGACTAAGGGTTTAGACTGTCAATTATATTTTTTAGTTTTGTCTATGTTCGAATATTCTCTTTAATTCTCTTAGTTCGGGGAGAGTTTGGTGTTCGTTGCTTATTTGTGGATATGGAGTTAGTTGACATTTTATTAGTTTGGTCATGTATTAATATTTTCCATCTCCTATTTTTTATTTATGCTTTTAATTTGATTTCTTGTATTACAGTTCGTCCTATTTATTTTTTGCTCTGCCTTGGGGATATCTTGGTTTGTGCAATGAATTTGGTTGTGCTAACTTTTGGTGGCCAAGGGATTGGATATTCGATTATATTTTTAAGTTTTCTCATATACTAATATTTTCTTAACCACAATCTCTTTATTTTCTTTTTCTCTATCCTCTTGTGTTATCAATACGACCCATCCGATTTCTTCGCCCTACCTTAGGGGACGTCTTTGTTGGGGCTTTGAGTTCGATTGTGCTATGTATTTGTAGCTAAGAGGTTGGATATTCGATTATAATTTTTGATTTGCCATCTTTGATGTATGGTACTATGGTAGCATGGCACTCGTTTTGGGCCCTAGATTGGACGTGTCCTGTGGCTTGTAGATTCGATTGCCATAAGAGTTAAAAATTTTCCAATAAACTATATTGTTTTATTTTGGAGACCTCGAACCTTAAATCTTAACTTTTTTTCATTCTCTTTTTACTCTTAGTATAATTTATTGATTTCCTTTGCTTTTGTCTTTGAATTTGATTGTGCTACCTATAATTCTTTTTATTTTTTTCGGGGGTGGGAGAGGGGTAGGAGAGAGATTGGTGTTTCAGTATATATATGTGTGTGTAGAAATATTTCCTTGTTAATTACTCATTGTTTCCTTTATAACTTTGATCATTTTGTTCCCTTTTTTTATGCTATCAGTATGCTTCATTTGATTTCTTTGTGAATCTGATACTTATTTGTATTCAGTTAGATTTTTTATTGGTTTGATCTATGTACTAATATTTTCGAGCCGAGATCCTATTTTTTCTTTATACTTTTAATTTTGATCTCTTGTATTACTCTCATGCTACCAATACAACCAATGTTTTGCTCTGTCTTGCGATGTGTTTGCGATGTGTTGGTGTGAATTGGGTTGTGCTTCTTATTTGTGGTTAGGCTAACCGGTTGGACATTGAATTAATCTTGTAAGTTTTCTTATATAATAATATTTTTCTACTAATGATCTCTTTATTTCCTTATCTTTTTAATATTAATTTTATTTTATATTCCATTCTCCTGTGCTACCTATACTACCTATCTGATTCCTTTGCCCTACCTAAGGGGACATCTTGGTTGGGGCTTGGACTTCAATTGTGCTATATGTATTTGCGGCTAAGGGATTGGACAATCAATTATATTTTTTTAGTTTTGTCTATGTTCTAATATTCTCTCTAATTCTCTTGGTTGGGGGAGAGTTTGGCGTTCGGTTGTGTTGCTTATTTGTGGATATGGAAGCAGTCAATCAATTAGACATTTTATTAGTTTGGTCTATGTATTAATATTTTCCAGTCCTATTTTTTCTTTATGCTTGTAATTTGATTTCTTGTATAACTCTCGTCCAATCTCGTGCTGCATATGTAGTTCGTCCTATTTATTTTCTGCTTTGGGACATCTTGGTTGGTTTAATGAATTTGGTTGTGCTACCTTTTGTGGCTAAGGGATTGGATTTTCGATTATATTTTTAAGTTTTCTCATATATTAATATTTTCGTAACCATGATCTCTTTATTTTCATATTTTTTTAAATATTTATTTTTGTCCTATCCTCTTTTGTTATCAAAAGAGCCCATCTGTTTTCTTCGCCTTACCTTAGGGGACGTCTTTGTTGGGGCTTTGAGTTCGATTGTGCTATGTATTTGTAGCTAAGAGGTCGGATATTCGATTATAATTTTTGATTTGCCATCTTTGATGTGTCGGTACTACGGTTGCATGATACTCGTTTTGGTCCCTAAATTGGACTTGTAGATTCGAT